ATAGTTTAATGTTCCAACAGATATATATCTTGGTACTCCAAAACCTTAATAGATACAAGCTAAGTATTATTTTTTGAAGAATATGATTCTGAAGGAGCCCATAAATGAGTTAAATTCATAAGAAATGGTTCAGTTATTTTTCTATTACTAGAAATCTATTTAAACATAACAGTTAAGGTTTTCAATATTTGACACACACTTATAAACCAACCATTTTGCCTAAAAACCTAACTACCAAGTCACTGTCAAAGATCTCATACGTTAATGAGTTATTAATTTAGGTATCTGAAAAAATTATGAGTTAAGTGACTGCCTTTGCAAGGTAAGGCCTAACTTTGTTTTGGTTACAGTAAAAAAAAAAAAAAAAAAGAAGAACATTCACAAAATTTGAACATATATTAACCACAAATAAAAGCACGTTATAAAAATTCGAAACAGTACAAAAAAATCATTTCATTGCAATGCAAAGCTAGAAATGAATAACAAAGAGACAATTTTTACCTATCAGAACAGCAAAGATCCAACATTTGTGTACACAGCTTTCATCAATCTTTGGCAAACTAAGCATTCACAGACAGACACTGCTGGTGGAAAGTGAATTGGCACTATGGAGCCTGGGGGCAATTCAAAAACACCCTTCAGAGTTAAAAATGCTTACCCCAACTGGTCCCCAAATTGTTTACACATCTGAAACTCCTAGCGAACGTCAACAATTTCTGATACCTATGTCAAACCCTAGGGACACAAGCATCAACTAAATTGTGATTTCAATTCACCAGGGGTATGACCTGAGATTTACATCTTTTAAAAGATCCCTATGTGACACTGAAGTATACAACAAGTTTGGGAATCAGTGGCCCAAGTTCCCTTTGCTAAAACAATTCCCATCTCATTATTTATCCTCTGCATTTACATTCACACACGTGATAAATGGCCTATGTCACTAATTGCAATTCTGTTTTATAATGCCAAAAGATTAGGAAAACATCGTGTTCATCAAAAGGATACATGTTAAATCAACATGGAGTGTTCATTAAATGCAATACTATGAATCTTTTACAGATGATTTGTGACTTACATCTCAGTAAGGCTGTTATATACATTAAAAAAAAAAAAGGTATAGAATGCTCCAGACAGAACACTGCCATCTATGTCAAAAATAATACACACTCACTGCTAGGAAAGACCATTTGTTTGGGTGAAATTTTGCTTTTCATTGCATACTTTATCAAAAGCTGAAATTTGTATATATGATGTATTCAAAATAAAACTTAAAGATGACCATTCTTTGGGAAGCAGCATTTTTATAAACTAACATTCAAGGTGGTACAAGGAAACATTAGGGGCAATGGAAACACTCTTATCTGGATAGTGGTGCTGGTGGCACAATTGTGTTTCTCAAAATTCAGATAAGTATATACCTAAAATGAATGAACTGTTGTAAACTATACCTCATTAAACCTGACTGGGAAAAAAAAAATTTAAGCTTATATGACAACCAGACCTCTTTTGCTAGCTAGCAGGAATGTAAACTAGTAGTATAGAAAACTGCTTGGCAGTATCTGTTTGATCTGGGCAAGCATGAGTCCTGTGTTCCAGTATTTCCACTCCAGCATTTCACCCATACATGGATTCACCTAGGAACATATCAGGGAATATTCACGGTCAGACTATTCCTGACAGAAAAAATAGGAATAATGCAGGCACTGTTAAAAGTAAAATGGAATCGTAGACTGTAGTGTATGTGCCAAGGAAAGCCAGACAGGAGGCGATTCAGTTTGAAAGGTGGCATTGCCATGACCAAGGAAAAATGGCAAAGAATATGAGCAAAAAAAAAAGAAAAAAAAAACACACAAATAAAGGCCCTTAATCAAGAGATAGTCAACCACTCTTACGAATTAAATGAGAATATGAGTGTTGAATATAACAGAAATGGATATTAAAATTATACTGAAATAACTTTACTCATTACACAGGCAAAATTTCAAAGCTTAGCAACAAATTCTGATGGCCTGGCTGTAGAGAAGCAGACACCTTCAAACATGTCCCTTGGAGACGCAAAATGGTGAAATTCCTATAATGGACAATGACCACATCTACAGGAAAGTTTCAAATGTATTTATCCTTTGATACATAAATACCATTATTAGGGATTTATCCTAGAAGATGTACATGCATACATACAAAATGACCTCTATTTAAGAATATCCATTGCAGGGCCTCCCCGGTGGCGCAGCGGTTGAGCGCTGGGTTGCGAAGCTGCCTGCGGCCTCTGCAGCGCGGGTTCGATCCCCAGCTGCTCCCCGGCCACCGGAGGAGGGTCCCACATGGCGCGCAGACCTCTCCTGCCGCCCGCTGCTCCCCTCAGCAGTGTACTTCGGTCCTTCTGCCTGCTCTGCTTCCCGCTCTGGCTCTGGTGACTTCTCCCACCCTCCCGTGCTTCTGACTGTACCCAGTGCATGTATAAACAAAACAAACAAACAAACAAATAAATAAAAGCATGCCTCTGTTAAAAAAAAAAAAAAAAAAGAATATCCATTGCCGGCAATGGCCCAAGATTAGGAAAAATTCAAGTTTATCTTGAGACGCTAATGAGATAAAATATGATACATTCAAACAGTAAAAGATTTTGCAACTGTAAATCACAACGTGGACACGCTCTAGCTATTACATAGAAACAAATATTGGTGATACGCACTTAAGGAAAAATATCAAGGCGGAAGAAAAAAATGTACCTGACATGCTATTTGTGTGAAAGGGAAAAATGAGAAAATTCATATTCACATTATCTTCATTTGAAAACAAAATAAATGTAAGTAGTTAACCATAAGGGATAGGGGGAAATGAGGGAGGAAAGCAGTGTGGAGAGAGGATGGAACAAGACTTCTCAGTATTTAACTTTTTAAAATATTTTTATCCCCCAAAAAGAAATTTATTACCCACTCCAAAATGCTTCCTTCAAATTCTTTTTGGAAAATCCAATTAGAAAAAATAAAAACAAACTCCAAAATAAAATTATTATTACTTTTCCTTCCCCCCTCTCTCCTTTCAAGTTATGTGATGGACTTTGCAAGTTGCTAAGACACGTGGGGTCCACAGCCTCCTTTCAAAGGAGGTGTGGGGGAAAGAACGAGTGTGTGGTAACAGAAGGGTCCTTAATGCTTTGCTCTTGATCCCTGGAGCCTCAGTCAAAACTGACATAGGACAACTCTTTTCACAAGAAGAGGTACAGAGATAAAACAATAATGAATCCAGAGAAAGATCCTACATACAGTAAAGGTGGCATTTAAATGGGGGTTGAGGGTGGCAAACAATTTCAGTATATATATATCAGTCATAGTTAATCTGTCGCTGTGGTGAAATTCAGATGAACTTAATAGAGTACTGGCAACAGGAGAAAGTTATCTAGAAAACAGGTCACATGAGTGATCAAAAGACTACCTAAACAAAAGTAAATGCAATCTGTTCAATCTAACAGAAGAATAAAATTAAACACAATATTAGTATTTGATATCAAAGGTCAAAGAAAGAAATATCTAGATATCTTTTCAACTTCTAGTATAGGTTTAGTCTTTACAACTAAACTTCTTTAGGAAGACTCACTGGTCAGACTTTAAAGTCTATCAAAACACAAAACTGGGCCTCCACTGGTGGCGCAGCAGTAGAGCACTGGGCTGCGAAGCTGCCCGCAGACTCTGCAGCGCTGGTTAGCTCCCCGGCCACTGGAGAGGGTTCCACATGGTGCTCAGACCTCTCCTGACTCACCCGCTGCTCCCCTCAGCAGTGTGTTTCATCAGTCTGCCTGTTCTGTTCCCCGCTCTGGCTCTGATGAATTCTCTCACCCTCCCATGCTTCTGACTGTACCCAGTGCTTATATAAGTAAATAAATAAATCTTTAAAAAATAATAAAATAAAAAATAAAAACACAAAACTTAGAATTGCAAGAATTTAAAAAAAGAGTATCCACTCTATTTCTCCAATTTTTTAAACCATGGCCCAGAGAGCACAGAGTGATGTTTGCAGGTTGTGCTCAGGAAGTGAATGAGGCAGCTCTCAGCAGAAGGAAACAGCCCTGAGGGCCACTACTGCCCCACCACCATGCATGACTCTAGAGACTGACAGCACCCTGGCACCCCTGTGACTCAGTCATGGCACAGCCTGTGCCCTTGCAAAGCCACCAGGCAGCGGGGTGTGGTTCTACCTTTCCCTGGGCATGGCTCTCTATAAACAGCCTTTCTTGTTCCCTAATAACAGTAGTGATGGAGGCTCGTCTCTGTATAGTGCTTTGTGTGGTAGGACAGCACACCCAATGGAATCAAGGTGCTTGGGACAGTGCGGTTCAGTTCTCTGCTAAAGACCACTGGCAACCACAGAGGCGCACTGCAACTAGCATCCAAATCCAAGACGCCCTCAGACATCACCTATATTGCTAAAACTAGAGTTCTTGTTTGAAATCATGAAGGGTCTCCTCTTTCTCTTCTGCAGACCTGGGTGTGCTCTCTGGCACTCTTTTTTTGCATGACAAAAGCAGCCGCCACTATCCTAGCAACCAGTTCTAAAAAAATCTGACATTATCACGTGTAATATCTTCCATAAAGGCAAAAGCTCTCCACTGCTTAATATAAGTATGTCCATGAAAGAAAATGATAGGAAGTAATAGTCCATAAATATAGCAGTCCAATTTAAACACTGCTCAGTGAAATAGTAAACAATTGACTTTTTTCAAGTGTCTGTGTTCATTTGCTCTGTTTAAGGAATTTATAATTTTAAAGCATCATCAATTCCACAGTATGCAAATTCCAATAAGGGATAAAAATATGAGCACAAGACCTAAAACAACCTAAGTAACAGATACTACAATCCATAAAACATGAAAAATTGCCATTTTGGTAACTCAAACGTGACTGCTTAAGAATCCAATCATCTTTAACAAAATTTTACAATAATCAAATTCATTTTATGGATAAGAAACAGGAAGAAGAGATTTAAAAGCACAGTACCTGGTAAAAGTGGGGTTATGTTCGGTCATCGCCACTAGCAATTTCAGAGCATATGCTGGTACAGGGTCGGGTTCTGTGAGGATGTGCTCATACCTGAAATGATAAAGTGATTAAGTGGTTTTCCTCACTTCAACTCTCTTCTGAAAAATAGAAACAATATGCCATAAGGAACAAACATCTGTTGGGGGAGGGGAGGAGATAGTGAAATAAATGTATGAGCTGTAAGACCTGCTCAGGTAGCTTCACCCCGTGAAGCTTCAAAGTTTTACCTACCAGTAGTGGTGATGACCACTTCAAAGTTTTACCTACCAGTAGTGGTGATGACCATGACCCTGTTCACACAGTGCTGCTGTTGGAAAGATGCAATGAGACGATCAATGTCAAATGATGGGTACTAGGAGTGTAGTAGGAGATATATCACCCCAGGCTTTGGTGCTAGGAGATCCCCAGACCACCTGCACATCCAACAATGTGCCAGCAGCCTCATGAGACTCAAATACAGTTGTACTTGTGGTGAGATTCAGGATAGTAACAACGCAAGGACACAGCAGAGCCTGGAAGATTCTGTGCAGGGGCTTCCTTATGCTCTGCTCTCTCCCTCCTATGAGGGGTGACACAGACTACACTCTCTTCCCCAGCCACAAAAATGCAGACTATCTGAGATGCTTCTGCCTGAGGAAGCCCATTAGAAACTCAAATGACCAACATTTTTATTGGGGGCTGATCACATAAGTGACCTCTGTCTAACATGTATCAAAATCCCAGGTTCCCAGAAAGGAAGCAGATGTTTGGCAAAATCCACACCGTTTGCACAAATATTCTAGGCACCATGAGCTAGCTATCCTTTTCTGTTCAGTGTTGACTGGCATGCTGAGAGCAAGTTCTGAAATGCCAGTCAAGGGCTAACTTTGCAAGTAGGCCTCAGAATAGACCTACTATGTGAACTCTTCACTGCACAGCATTCTTTGCATTAATTTTTTAAAATCTAAAATGAACATTACCAGCACAGAGAATAAAATTCAAAAGGCCTTCACTAAAAATTTCCACAACAAGGTTCAGGCTGTGCTCCCACGCTATTTGCTAGGCAGGGGCTGTTCATAAATGGTGTTTTTCCTTTTCAGGTTTGGCAATGGCGGGACACAATCCCACGTGGCTGCTCAAGCAGTAAGCGCTAAAGGAATACAAGAATGAGTAACCAACCAACCAACTTCATGATTTAATGCTCTTGGAACCACCAACAACGAAAGAGGAAGAAAAGAATATCCAGAAATCCAAAATGTGTATGTTAAAATCCATGACTTGAGGCAGATCGCTCCACCTAGAGAGGAGGTCGGAGGCTCTGCCTCAGAGCCTGCTCGCTTTCATTTTGGAAATCGTTATATAACGAGCTTAATGACACCTTAGAAAGGAGCCCAGTAAAGAGAGGCGAGGGACTATTACAGAAAGGCAACCTGAAAAGTACGAGAAGTAGGACTTGAAAGAACAGACGAGGGGAAAGAAAGTAAGTCAGGGACTCCAACCGAGCACAGCCGGGGGAGCATTTAACATGAGACGCTGCTCAGACCTGGATGGGGCCTGAGGGCTACTGACAAATAATGTTCAAAATCGGAACACTGAAGTCAAGAGAATTTAAGCTGAGTAAAGTGCTCTGTTTAAGGAGCCAGGGAAGTGGCATATTTCAGATGGCTTTCTGATAAAATAGCTCTAAATTACAGCAATTAAAAATTTTGCCCCTGTATGACAGAAAGGCAAAATCATCATCACTCATAATAAAATCATAAATAAAACAGTAATAAATCACAGAGAACAGTATGACAACTTAGGATAACTGCAAAACTGAAATAATCCAAGTTAGGAAAACAATACATTTTCTATGAATAAAATAAAAATCAAGGAAGCACCCTTAGAGGTGATAAAAAATGTATTTGTGAAAGTGAACCCAATTCAGAATTTTGTTTAAAGGAACAACTCTTAGCATACGACAGTGAAATAATTAGTTCCTCTAATAGTTTTATAAAATAAAGAGCTCTTATCCTGAGTTCAGTGTACCCAATTTTACCTGAAGGTTCAATGATTTGCTATAATGATGACTCACAGCACTCAAGTAGTTGTCATACTCCCAATTATGGTTTATTACTGTGAAAGGAAAATTGATTAAAATCAGCAAAGATGAAAGGCACGCAGGCAGAACCCCAGCTGTCCTTTCCCAGTGGTATTACATGGACAGACCACAGTTCCCCAGCAACAATGTGTGAAGTACTGCCAGCCAGGGAAGCACACTTGGCATCTGGGGTCGTACTCGGGGGCAGTCACATAGCCATGGAGTGCCTGTGTGCTAACCTTAGTGACTCAGCCTCCAGCTCCTCTAGAGATTAAGCTGATTCTTTGTGACCCAAAGTACCCACCATAATTGACATTGCTAGCCCAAGTTATCTGGCCGGGCCTAAGGCTCCAGGTCTATAGAGACTCTTACCAGGACAGATAATCCAAAAGCTCAGAAGCTATCTCCTAGAATGTGGTCAAAGGTCAAAGGCTTGTAATCTGCAAGACTGGACTGAACATTCCACACCTCCTGAGTTAATCCTTTATAGCATAGATCCTTAATGGGGATCTATGGGCATTAAATGGGGCATTAAAGTGACTTCTTCCACTCTTAATATTTGGAAATTGTCAGCCAGGTAATCTCAAAAGGGGGAAAGAGAGACTTCTGATGAGTCACTTAAACACTTCAGACAACTAGTCCTTTGTCCCCACTCCCAGTCTTAGCTGAACCATAGAGGAAAAGACCACACACTTCACATGTGAGCTTACTCAAAAGCTCATGTAGAAAGTATGAGAAAACATGGACAAGCTTAAAATACAATTGAGAAAATCTCACTAGGGCTGCAAAGTACAAAATATTTTAAATAGACTATGTTTAAAAGGAAAACAGTGATGAAGCTTTACTAAAATACAATTGTCTTGAGATTGATTGGGATTATTGAACCTGGAAACAGGAGGGAAGGATGAAGCTGACACCAGCCTGTGAATGAGAATTTTCCCCAAGAACAGTTTTGTTTTTCTTCTCTTGAAAAAAGCAGCACAGACTTTATACAGGAGATGTTAAGAATACAAATATTGAATATACTGAATAGATTTTGGCTTAACCAAAGTTAGGTTTGTAATAGTCAGCAGACTGGCCAAAAGGATGCTGTGATTTATTGAGCTTATCTTCTAAAGAGAGATCGAATAGCTGAGCTAATAGTAATTGGATCTGGCACTCCTGTGAAGGCAACCTGGCAGCAAAAAATAAAAAATAAAAAAAAACAAACCAGAAGTTAGACTCCTGAAACAGCCTTTGAAAGATGGTGGCCAGTGAGACAACCAGGCAACCAGGGGCAAGAGGGGAGCAGTTCATATGGCCTGAGAACTGGCCATGGACTTAGGTTGCCATCAGCGTAACAACATGTTGTCCAGACAGTGTCCCAAGACCCTACTCTTCTACTTCTAGGATACTATAAAAGGGGGCAAACAACCTACTCTTTTGGTATTTTTTGTATAGCCTCTTCTAAATTTGACCTAGATGACATCTTGAGTCAACTCCAAAATTTTATGAACTGAGATAAGATATAAATCAAACAATTAGATGATACCTTTAAAACTTTCCATTATTGTGATTTTATATTACTTTTGTTTTGTATGATTCTCTGCTATCTGGTACGGATGCATAGATACTTCAGTACATAAGTAGCTAAATGGATACATAAGTGGACAGAGACTACAGGGGTGGAAAGATTTTAAGAGAAAGGTTCGAAAGTTAGAGAAAGCTTCAACTTCAAAATGAGTTTTAAATATAATTCCAGACAGTAAGCCCTAGTCTCTCCAGGACTCTTCAATAAAATCAACAGTAAATTTTTGTTTGAAGACCTGAAAGACTAAAAGAAAACAATTCAATAAAGCAACACTCAAGGCTTGCACAATATTATCCAAAGAACTGAAGTGCTAGAATTATCCTGATTCAGGACAAAAGAGTATTTCTCCTTGCTCTAACTATCAAATTATCCCCATGTAGATTCCTTTAATTGTAACTTCAGGGGGTATGAAATATTCACTATTCTCCAATGCACTGATTTAGGTACACACTCAAGACATAAAAAGATTAAATAAATGGAAAAAAGTAGAGCAATACTTCCCAATATTTGCAAAAATATTTATGAATTAGTTATATGCAAAAAAAAGAAATTATCTAAGGAAAGGTCAAAAATGAAATCTTTCTATTTTGATTCCCATCAAAGATGGCAAGTTCATACCTATTTTAACATTGAATGCTTGTGGTTGAAGGCCATATAGACACAATACAGAAGCATTTGGAGGATCTTTGAGTCACCAACAACGAAATGAAGTAGTCAAACCCATGACTCTTGCGGGTATTATTCCTAGGACAGATAAATACCTCTACAGTGTGTAACCACTAATGGAATCTATTTATAAATTTCAGTTTCTAAAAGGAAATAAAATTCTAATTTAGAAAAGAATATACTACTTTCTCAGATTCTTTAAGATAAAAAAAGGTTTAATAATTTATGAAGTCATTATGACCCTGATGATTGTACAGGTCACAAGAGAATTATAAAAAAGAAAAGCAGTATTCATTTTCCTCAAGAGAGAAATGCTGACTGCCATATTGTCATAAAAACTGTGTAAGCACATTTATATCAGCAGGATCTCTTTTCAATACAAAATATTCAAAGTAAAAAGGAAACAGGAAAACCACTGTTGGCAAAGTGGTCCAGTCTGCCAAAGGCAATCTACACAGCAAGTGTTTCCACTGATCTGTTACCTCATTGAAAGCCTTCCCTATCCGACCTGTCTCAAAAATCCCTTTTTCATCCCCATTACAATCTAGCCCCCGTACACTATTTTATTGTTTTCACACCACTCACGATCGTCTCATATACTGGTTTACTGTGCTGTCTCCACCATTGGACTGCACCAAGGGGCAGGGATTCCCTCATGCTTAGCACATGTCCCCAGTGCCTGGCGTATGGAAGTCAACAAAAATTTATTGAATGAATTAAATAAGAAGAGAGAAACAGAGAAAGGGTCTTCAATCACTTATGCACAATCGCACGTGCAGTACAAATGAGATTTACATTTACATGAATGTTAAAACTTACTCCTTCCTGGGAACATTTTCTGAGTGAAGGATTTAGTCCCATTTACAGTCAAATATTGAAAGAGAAATGTTCACCTTTTATAACAACTCTCAGGGGAAAAAAATGTTCAAAAAGTCAGAAGACTACTTTCACTACTCAGATCGCACTGATAATAATGCCAATGTCAAACTTCTGAAAGGCACCCATTTTAATTAATAAGGTCACTTTGGGCTTAAGTTCATTAAATAGTCTCTTCTTGTTTGCATAGACCTTTAAAATTAAATCTTGTCTCTCTGCTGACAAAAAAAACATGGTAATTTTCTAAGTGTATATGGTATCTTATCAGAGGAGCAAAAACATTTCCTCATTAATCACATAGATAACTCAGTTATGTTATTGGCATTTCAACTATCTTGAAGGAAGGAGGAAAAAACTGAAAGGAAGAAAGAAGAGGTGGAAGTGAGCTCAGGTACACACAGCAGGTTAAGTCAGGGCCAAGGATTAAATACAAATATTCAAATCACAAGACACAGATTAGCAAAGGCCATTATCACCAATTTCAATAAGCAGAGAGTTTTCTCAAACTGGTGGCAGAGAGGAAGTCAGAGAGATTGGAAGCCTGAGGAGGATTTAACCAATGTTGCTCACTTGAAGATGAAAGGGCCACATGAAAAGAAGTATGGGCACCTAAGGATGTAAGGCTGTTCAGAAACAGGGACATTGGTCCTACAACTCTACTGGGTTCAATAATGGCATCCAAAAAAAACAGTTCAAGTCCTAACCCCAGAACCTGTGAATATGACCTTGTTTGGGAAAAAAGATCCTTGCAGATGTAGTTAAGGATCTAAGATAAGATGCTCCTGGTGGATAGGGGAGACCTATAAATACAATGTCAGGGAGGGACCCTTATAATACAGGGGACTGAGGTGATGGTGCACGGGTGCATTGGTGAAGGAAACTATGGGTACTACACCTGAGGGGATAGGGGGAGCAAATAGTGTTTAAAAATGAACAATGATGTAAAATTTTTTTTTTTAATTTGAAAAATAAATTAAATAAATAAATAAATAAATAATAGAAAGGTAGAGGCAAATTTATGACAGATGTAGTAGGGAAAGTCACATGAAGACATAGATTGAACAGATGCTGCCATAAACCAAGGATTGCTGGGTGCAGCAGAAGTCAGGAGAGAAGAATGGAATCTTCCTCAATGATTCCAAAAGGAACCAACCCTTTTGGAGGAAACTAGGACAAAGCACAAGAAACTGAATTCTGCCAAGAGCCTGCATGAATCTGCAGAACACATCTCTCCCAGAGTCCTAAGATGAGGACCTGATTTCAGTGCCATGAGATCCTGAGCAAATAACCCAGTCTGTATCAGGCTTTGACATACAGCACACATGTGACCTGATAAAAAGATGTTTATTTAAGCCATTAAGTGTTTGGTAATCTGTTATTTAGCAATAAAAACTACTAGAATATTAAGGACTTAATATTCTTACATGATTAACTGATATTTATAATCCCACATTACATTAATTTTTCAATGGTGGGCATCTTTTTCTTATCCCTGACCTTAATTGAGTAGAGTTTCAAAACTGTGATCAGAGGCGCACGAGTGTTCTGGAAGATGTTAATAAGTAGGCCGGCGGAAACAGAGTCCTAAGGTCATAGAATATGGTGAAATCCTCGGCAAGATGGGTGAACTGTGAAACTCAAAAGTAAAGAATAATAAGCACGATGAATGTCTTAGAATGAATGTGCTATGGCAGGTTTATAGACGTCACTCAGGCCCCCCAGTTTAAGAAAGGTGACTTCAATATTTAATTCATACTTATGCAAATACTTCTACTTGCAAGATTTACAAACTTTTTCAGTAAAAAAAGAAATTTTTCATTTCTGAAATATGTGTCTACTGGAGAGTACATTCCATGAAGACAGAGGCTGTATCTATCCTGGTCATTATTATATTTACATACTCAATGGAGAACATGAATTTTCCATTATTAGCATTTCTCAACTTATAATTAATAAGAGCTACCTTCAAAGGCCAAACTCCTTAGTGAGGAGCTCTTCAGTTTTCCCAAGTCAAAGTTAAATGAATGCATTACTTATATTTCATTGTTTACATTTCTGCATAACACTTATTGAGCCCTCACTATATATGCCAGGCAGCATATATATATGCCAATGAGCATTATATATGCACAATCAGCATTCTCTCTTTTCATGGTCACTTTGCTTTACATGGTCCCTTGACCGTGAAGCATGCACTAATGTACTGTTACTATTAACAGTAATCTTCATTTCACAAACTTCAATTTAAACATTAACAGAAGATATGATAATAATGAACTAACAATAGTACTAAACATTTGTTAAGAACATAATAAGGCCCACTCTCTGTGCTACCCATTTTATAGATGCAGAAGTTGAAGTCCAGGGAATGAAATCTAGTACCAGGTCCTGTACTTTCCACCAGAATCAGTCCACAAGTTTGAAAACATCCCAAACCACATCTCAAAAAATGCCATACCATTACCCAAAGTGTGCTTCATGTTGTTTAATAAAAACCTGAACTCATTTCTATTACTTCCCTTCTTGAACTGCTTTGTGGTTTACACTTGTATTTGCCCCTTTAATTCCTCATCTCTGGAAAAGGTACAGACACATTAAAGGTAATACATATTATTGATTCCAGCTCAGATGAATAAACCATTCATCAACTGGAGGAAATCCTCTTCCCATCATGGGGCTATAGGGCAGGTCTGGTAGTTTATCACTGATAAAGTTCCACATGACAAAGCTTTAAACTTTTTTCCATATAGAGAACTATTTTCCTGCTTTGGGGATCACTTGCCAGATATAATAATTATCAGGAGACTCTCTGAAACCAACTACAGAAGCTCAGGAACAGAAAAGAAAGGAGCAATTGGTGCAATATGTCAAGCCATCATAGGTCAAGCTACCATTAGACAAGACTCCTTGGTCTTGACACACTGGTTACATGGTGACACACTGGCCACACGCTTCATAAGAGACACCTCCTTCATCCAGTTGGGACAGGTTGAGTGCTTCAGAATAGAATTAGATCTGGTTTCTCTAAGGTGATTTTTTTCATAAGAACAGGCAATTTTGAGAACAAATAGAGAAGTGCATTTGAGAAAAGTGCCATTAATGAAAATCTGTTGAACTGCCTCAGATGGCAGCCTAGGCCTTGGAAGCAGCCAGGATCAGGCACACACTTTAGGGCATGACACGCAATCCAGTATTTAATTTTATAAAAATTTCTTCAATAGTGATATGATGTATTTTTACTTTCATTATTTCTGTTTAATAAAATTCATAGTGTTGCCTGAATTTTAAGGTGTGATTTTTGAGCTTCACATGTTTGCATGGGGTGCTCTCAGTCATCACTCTACTCTGCATTTGCGATCTGAGCAAGGAAGTAAAAGTGAAAAGACAAACCCTTTCTATTAATTTATACTCATTACCTGTCCTTCCACCAGCATCACCACTCCCCAGAAATCCTGTTTGTACTTAAAATTACTTTCCACTCAAGAGTTTGGGTGAAGGAAAAATTCCTTCCCATCTTTATTATTTCTGAGTAGGTCGAGAAAAAAAAAACCAATTTCATGTTACAGTTGTTTTATAATGTTGCCCTTGAATAGTAAACTGTACCTTTTGAGTCATGAGCATTTTTAAATCTGCATAACCTCAGAGTCATGGGCCTTGTAGAAAACAGATAAAGTGCTAAATGGATGTTTTGGAAGGCAAGTTAGATTCTTCTGGGTCCTATGCAGTGTAGAAGTTTCTGCCTCTATTTCTAGAACTCTTTGAAAGTAATTACATAAGCATACGTACTTAAAGATGAGGACACCGAAACCCCATCCCCATTGTTGGACCTAGTTTGACAGAAGCATCCTGAACACCCCACGCTTCTCTGAGTGCAGCACACAGCACTTACTGGGGAAGCAGGACATCTCTGATGAGGGCCAAAAGACTGTTCTCAGAATCAACATTTGCCTCCTTCTTGCCATCCCCAACCTCCTGGTTCACGAGTAAAGATGTGGTTTCTGAGAGTAACCTTAAACTGAAGAGTCTCCACTCCACTTGAAAGAGAAACAAGAATGCCAAGAATGTGACTACAAGGAGGCAGAATGAAAACAACATGTAGAACTGATAGAATTCTCACTGATGTGGTCATGCTTACCATTTTGGCTTTGAACCAAGGAGACTAAGGGTGGCAGGATAGAATCAATAACCTGAAAAAAAAAAGATGTAAAATTTGGTTCAAATCCATATGAACACAAAAACTGGTATGAACCACTATATACCTTTTTCCCCACTCACAGATTTACAAATCAAAGGAATGAAAAAAAAAAACAGCTAAATTTATCTTGTATTTAAACTCTGTGTGACATTTAATAAACCACCAATCCATTTAGCTCTGAAAAGTCCTCAGGTCAAAATGACATTATAATCATGAAAACAGTGATTTATCAAAATCTTCAGAGTTTGTGAGAGGAATTTCATTATATAATGCAAAGTCTGGCTGGCATGGGCTGACATTAAACCATGAAATTAATATACATAAGCTGTGATCATTATGCAAGTTTAATCTAAACAATGATAAAAAATATTGGGGGAAAAGGAGACATAATATTCATGTTTTATCAAATACATCAAAGAGTTATGGTCAGTTAATCTTGGTTATTTTTAGCAATTGACTCAAAAGATGTAATCTACCAGACAATTCATCTCTGATTTCCCGGTTGAATCAGACAGACAACAAGTATGGTTTGAAACCTTCTCCAAAATAACAAGTTTTTTTCTCCCAAATGAATATAGATGACGAAGAGAGAACAAATCACTTCCACAGTATAATTTTGAAACTTACATTTAAAATATATATATACAATTTATTCATAATTACTTATAGTTTAATTATAAAGTTATAATTTAATAACATTTTCCATTTTAAGAAATGTTGAATAAGGGCCTCTCAGGTGGCGCAGCAGGTTGAGCACAGCACTGTGAAGCTGTCCTCAGCCTCTGCAGTGTGGATTCGATTCCCGGACAGCCAGGGAGATACCCACATGGCATGGCAGACCTCTCCTGTCTCACCCACTGCTCCCCTCAGCAATGTTTTTGGTCATCTACCTGCTCTGCTCCCTGCTCTGTCTCTGGTGAATTCTCTCACCCTCCCATGCCTCTGGCCTCTGTACCCCAGTTCTTGTATAAATAAAAATAAATCTTAAAAAAAAACCATTAAAAAAATGTTGAATGAGATACTAGAAGTTCAGAAGTTCAGCAACTATTCTTTTCATTAAGAATAAGGCAACAACCTTATAGAAGAGAGTATTTCTAAAACAATAATTTATAATGAAAATGGTTTGTACTCTATTTTTGTAGACAAGTACCTTTTTAAATTTTACTGATGAAAGTAAATCATCTGAAAACTGAAATTGACTATTCTGAGCACTTAACTAAAATTCTTATTCTACTTTTGAAAATTAATCACTTCCTTCATTTCAGTAGACCTTAAAATTTGTGGATACATCTAATAATCGCACAATAATTAACATGTTCACACCAGTTGCCAGTTCCTCTGTCCTCAACACACGGTAATGTCAGACATGCAGGATGAAGATGCCAAGGACATAACTGTAACCTCTGTTATTAACAGAGCAAGACATTCCCAAACACGCCTTTTGAGAAGAACAAATATCTAAATCATTAGAATATGAAATGCCCATGAAGATGTTAAGGAATTTCCAAGGTCACGTAGGTTAGCAAAACTTTTAAAAGTTGACAAAATACTATTAGCAAGACTATGGAGAAAGCAGCACTCTTGTATACTGCTGGTAGGGAAGCAAAACCTTGTATAAGGGACTCTGGCAGGATCTAGAAAAACTCATCCACATTTACCCTTGGACCCCACAATCACCCTCCTTGGAATCTGCCCTAAAGCTATATCTCTAACTGTAAGAAACTGCATATTATTGTCTGTAATTGCAAAATATTAGAAACTAAATGTCTGAAGATAGGGGACTAGTTGAGTAACTGATGGTATACATTCACATGGAAGACCATACTGCTATGATAAAGAACGAGAGGGATCATAGTAAACTGATAGTGATTTCCAACATCCATTATTATATGAAATAGAAAAGTGCAAAAGAGTAAATACAGTATGCTACCTTTTCCATAAGGAAAAAGTGGAAATAGGAAAACATACATTTTTTCACACACACACACACACACACAAAAAAAAAAAAAAAAAAAAAAAAAAAACATTTAAAGGATGAACCAAAAATGAATGGAGCTGAATATCTGTAAGAGAGAGCGTATGATGGAGTGAGTGGGGACAGAGTGGAATACATACATGTGAGGGGTGGGGAGTGACAACTGCTCTGAATACATCTTGAATACATCTTTTTCTATAGTTTTGACTTTGGGGAGCATGTTAATGTTTTCCATAATTAATAAATTAAAATCAAAAAGGATACAAGTGGAAAAATAAAACCTAAAATTGAAAGCAAACTAAAGCAAATCAACTGTATTTCAAATGATTATTATAACCACACTAAAAGAGGGGGAGGGGGACAAATCCAAGTACCCTGTAAACACAGTACTGACTCTACACCCCCAGTCTTGCTTGGAAGACATCTGGAAGTGGGAAGAGGGAGAAAGCCCACAAACAAATCCTGATTTCATTAGGTGTGATTTTATATTGGCTCAGATGAAGCAGTTCTGTAACAATTTCAGATGTATTATTAGGATTAAACAAATGAGAAAATGTGCTGATGTCAGAAATCAGAATTTTTACAAAGGAAGAATTTTTACAAATATGGAATAGGGGAAGGCAAGAAAGAACTACACAGGACAGACTGGATTTGTACATGTGTATATATACATGCATACACATGTAAATATGAATGAGCGTATCGTATGTATGTTTCCATGTACATACACATGCGTATATTTCCTAGCTCTCGGAGATCTCACAAGAGAGGCGCATGCTTAGAGCCCGGATTTTAGTCTTTAATGCCATTTCCATGATATGCAACCAGGGCTCTTCAGAAAAATGACCGATTACAAGACCAGAGCAGGGGGGTTACAAGCTGAGTCGAGAATATCTTGTGCCAGGAACTAAAGAAGCACTCAAAAAATGATGTCAACATAGGAGCCAACTTGAAAGGGTTTACATTGGCCAAATTGAGTTATCATTTAACCATTTAAATAATTATAATAATGAAGCCACCAATTAAAGTAGGTATCTGTGGTAAACAGAAATGTTGGGAGACAGAAAGTTGTCCACATACTGGAGCCTGTTGATTTGTTAGCTTTCATGGCAAAGGAGACCTTGCAGATATAATTAGGAATTTTGAAATGACCCTTTATATTGAATTACATATAAGTGAGCCCAATGTAAGAACAAGGGTCCTTGTAAGAGGGAAAAAGGAATGTCAGAATCAGAGAAGATGTGTCAACAAAAGCAAGGGGGCATGGGAATGCCTGTGTGTGTGTGTGTGTGTGTGTGTGTGAGAGAGAGAGAGAGAGAGAGAGAGAGAGAGAGAGAGACAGAGACAGAGACAGAGAGAGAGAGAGAGAGAGATTTGAAGATGCTGTCAATTTTGAGGATGAAAGAAGAGGACACAAGCCAAGGAATGCAAGCAGTCCCTGGAGAGGAAAAAACAAGCATACAGACTCTTCCCTTAAAGCCTCCAAAAAGTTCAAAAAAGATAAACACATGCAATTTGCAGCAACATGGATGGCGCTAGAAGGGATCATGCTCAGCGAAATAAGCCAGAAAGAAAAAGAAAAATACCGGATGGTCTCACTCATTGCAGGAATCTAGAAAACTTAAATAAGGGACCAGGAAAATGAATATCTATAAGAAAGTGAAAATCATAATCAACAAACAACTATGAACCAGAGACACTTTATGAGGGGAGGGGGGTCGGGGGGGAGGGATTGGGGTCAAAATAAAGGGGTTGCAATTGCTTGGGGAACATAAAAATAAAAAAATTAAAATTAAAAAAAAAAAGCCTCCAAAAAGAACACAAATATGCTAATATTTTTATTTTGGCTCCAAAGACCCATTTTGTACTTTTGACTTCGAAAACCATAAGATAATTAAAATCTCTAAATGTGTGGTAATTTGCTATAAGCAACTATAGGAAACTAATATAAAATATGAACCCATAATAGTGATTGACGGGACAGACTGATAGATATGGTATTCATATGTTAACTGCACCAATAGGCATATATTTATCAAATACTGAACATTTTTTTTTAAATATTTACTTATTTATACAAGCACTGGGTACAGTCAGAAGCGCGGGAGGGTGAGAGAATTCACCAGAGCCAGAGCGGGGAGCAGAGCAGGCAGAAGGACCGAAGTACACTGCTGAGGGGAGCAGCGGGTGGCAGGAGAGGTCTGCGTGCCATGTGGGACCCTCCTCTGGTGGCCGGGGAGCAGCCGGGGATTGAACCAGCGCTGCAGAGGCTGCGGGCAGCTTCGCAACCCAGCGCTCAACCACTGCGCCACTGGGGAGGCCCATGAACATTTTTTATGAAAATAAATTTCATATATATATATATAAACTTTTTAATTAATGTAACATACCCAAAGGTGTACTAATCCTAAGTATAATGTTCACAATATAGCCCACTCATATAATTAGCACCTACATTTAAAAAAATAAAACATTTCTAAGATATTACTAAGTTCCCTGGTAGACTCTTCCAGCCACTACCTGCCTCAAGGGTAATCACTGTCCTGATTTATAATAGATTAATCTTGTCTGTTTTTCAACTTTATGCAAATGAGACATGATATTCTGTATTCATTATCTTTGCCTTACTATAAACTTTCTGAGATTTATGCATGCTATTAAGTACAACTGTGGATCATTCATTTTCTTTGCTGTATAGGACTCCATTGTATGACAAGGCCATAATTAGTTTTTCCATTAGTTTGTTGATAAGCATTTGGATAGTTTCCAGTTTAGGGTTTTTTTTTAAGATTTATTTTTATTTATTTATGCATACAAGAACTGGGATGTGAAGTGCAGGCCAGAAGTGCAGGGGGTGAGAGGATTCATCAGAGGGAGTGGGAAGCAGAACAGGCAGATCTACTGAGATATACTGCTGAAGGGAGCAGTGGGAGAGACAGGAGAGTCTGCTGTGCCATGTGGCTTAGCTCCCTTGTGGGGGATCAAACTCACGCTGCAGTGGCTGCCGACAGCTATATAGTTCTGAGGCTTAACCCCTTTCACCACCAGGGAGGCCCTCCAGTTTAGGATTTTGAAAATCCTTATATATATTTTGTTAAACATATATCCATATTTCCATTGAATATATAGAGGTGAAATATTTGAGTCATGATATATACATATGTGCAACATTTATACATGGTCTATAAATACGTATAGACATATCACAACTCTCAATTTTCCAAAGTTATTGCACAAACTTGTACTTCCACTAGCAGTTTCTGAGAGTTCTATTTGCTCTACATCCTTACCAACTCTTAGTATTAACTCAAAAATCAAATAAATTATTCAATATTTATCAGTCTCCTGATACCTTAAAATTACTCTAAAATTTTACAAAAGGACAAGCTTTTCATTAAATGGTATTATGACTTATGTTTTGTGATATAAGTAGAATTATTTAAGTAAATTATGTACATTATTGCCAGAATTTTCTATTGAAGAAGTGTCTTTACTACTATTTTTTGTTTGAAACCACTATGAATAGGAACAAATTCTCTGTAAAAAAAACAAATCAGTATGGTATTTGTGAGAGCTATAGGCCACACTGATGACTTCCAGCTCTGAGGCACTAAAGGGTCTAAACTCTGAGAAAAATCCAAGTTAAACATTTGTGCTCAGCAAGATTTAAATGTGTTTAGGCACTTACCTCTGACAAAGTATTGATCAGGGGCCTTGAATATAGTTTGTGCTAACATTTCAAACAATGTTATGCTCCTTGGGGTGTTGGAGCTTCGATTTCATGTATTCCAGTCATGCTCAAGAAGAGGTGATTAGAGGCTATCCCATGAGTTATAGCACAAAAGAAATATTTTTAATGAAGCCCATGAATTGCAGTGACAATGCAATTTCCTATCATACATTCTTGTAATTGCAATGATGTTTCAAGTATGATAGCATTCTATGGTTAGAAAGTAAAACTAATATCTATTGAAATGTAAGTATATATATATGTAAATACTGGATTTCAACAAATTATTAATGGGCTTATTGTTCTTTAGGGAAAAGAATCAATAAGCAACACTCAAACAAGTGAGACTTGCTTGGAAGACTAAGAAATCCCTCCTAAGTAAGTGACCATAGCAAAGAGGTTTCTAATAACACGGGGTCTGGTTATTTGTATTAACTCTCTCACTGAAAACAATGAAAAATGTCAATGAAATATTAAAAAAGCAAAACCTTAAAAATATTTAGGATGTGGAAAGACAGTGGAGGAACTCTCAGATCAACCTTTCTGAATGAAATGAGTAGAAAATATAAGCATATAACTGACTACAGCCTGGAGGCATTTACCAATAATACAAATAAAAGTTTCCAGTGGAGACCCCTGGGACCAGAGAGACAAGAAGTCTGAGTTTAGGTCTTCCGAACAACTGGAGTTTTGTGATACCCCGACACTGAGGAGAAGGATTACATTTTGAGAGTAAGAGAAATCTAGTTCACCACACACATTCACACTTCCGGGAACTGCTGACAAGGCTACTCTGGGAAATTGTGATGTTAGGCCTACACATTCAGGTATTTGCATACTGGTTACAAATGATCTTGGACTGAGGTAGCTCTAACTGGCAAGGCCCTGAAACAAACACAAAGCTTCTCTGGAAGAGGACAGATCCACACCAGACTTCAAGCTATGCTCACAAACAGATTTTTAAAAGGACAAAAAAACAAGAAGCAGTAAATTTTACTAAGGTCTCCAAAAAAACAACATGAGTTTGGGCATGAACAAGATATAATAGGCACACTATCAATTCCATTCCTTCTGATATTGGAATTATCAGATGGTATAAAACAAGGATACCTAAATAAGAATGAATAAATCATAAGCCAGAAAGTATATATAGGGAAAAGGAAATTATTAAAAGCAATATGATATGAAAAAAAGCAATACAGTAGTAAAAAAAAAATCAGAATTTCTAATAACAGAACATCTATACATGAAAAATAACTAAAATTTAGAATTCAATGGCTATATCTGCCATTAGATTGCAGAGAAAGCAGAAACCAACTGAAGAAAATTATCCAGAATATGTAACAGAGAAACAAAAAGACTATGTAGGAAGAAGTATAAAAAATACTCGGAGAAAGTTTAATGTGCATGTGAACTGAGTTGCTAAAGAAGGCAGAGCAATGGAAAGAGAGAATGAGCAGAGCAATGACAGAATTTTCAAGAACTGATGAAAAGAACAATCCAGAGATGTACAAGAGGCACAGAATAAACAGAAAAAAATAAGTTCATATTTTGTTACATTATAGTAAATCTACAGACAACCAAAAACACAACCCCACCTCCCAAAAAATCTTAAAACAAGACAAGGAAAGAGACATGTTATCTTCAAAAGAAAGCAGATTATCAGCTAAAACTTCTGAACAGCTCAGAACATAAAATAAAAAAATAATATGTTCATAGTAGTGAATGATTAGGAAAAAAAAGTAACTGTCAACCTAGAATTTAAACTTTAACAAAAATCTCCCTCAAGAAACAATGACTTTTTTTAGACAGTTTGTCAGAACCACACCCAACTAAGGAAAACTGTTAAAGGTTTATTTCCAGTCAGAAATAAAGACTGAGTAAGCTAAGATGCATATTTTACTTAAAGATAGTTTCTTTTTGATTTCAGTTTCTAATAATTTAATATACATGATGTAAGTTTTAGGGTAAGCCTAAAAAAAAACATTTCTTTTTTTTTTTTTTTTTTACAAACTCTTGCTCTTGAGAATTGCCACTAAAAGTGTCTCTAAAATTTGTGTTGTTTCTTTTAGGTTCTCTTTTAGAAAGGAACCACAACATTTAATTACGTCCTGTCAAGACATTTAGAGTCTTTTGTCCAATCTTTATTACCGGAAACTTGTCTGTAAATCTGAAAGGACATCATCAAAGATCTCTGTCTTCAGCCATTTCTCTCTACAGGCTTTATATCACGTTCTGCCACCTCTACTGGAAATTTTAGTGTTAGGAGACATCCCTGATCCATTTGTTAAAGCTGATTCAACTCGATGATTGAACTAAAAAACATTTCTAAAAACAAAGCTTACATAGAGGAAAAAATAAAATGCGGCAGAAAAAGTCAATAAAATCAACATAAGAAAGTAGAGGTAGGGAGAGAAAATATGTATGACAAAGTTTCAAAAGTGGTAGCAAGAAACCAAGTATATTAACAATTACAATCAATGTAAATGGAGTACATATTCCAATGAATGTTAAATATTGGTCAAATTAGATTTTATTTTTTTAATTACATAATATTTATATGATAGGTATAAGATTTAAGAGAGGTATTAAAGAGATGTTTCAACTATTAAGCAAAAGAAAGGGTAGGAGACTATATTAAGATAGAAAAAAAATAGAAATTCAAGGCAAAAAGCAGTTAGAAATAAAAGTCACCTAACAAGGAAAAAAAGGTGAATTTTGTAAAATAGCTGTTTTAATTTGCATGCACCCAGTGATATGATGTCAAGCTACAGAAAATTAGAATTGACAGAAATACAAAAAGAACTAAATAATAGCCTCAAATAAGAGATTTATATACATCTCCCTCAAGAATTGACAGGAAAACCAGACCAAAGTTAGTAAAGATAGGAAAAAATATATGAGATGATTAATAAATTTGACCTAATGGACATATCTTGAATATTATAGCTAAGAGCTGCAAAATACATATGCTTTTCAAACATAAAAAAAAATCTACTCCCAAAAAACCTTATAATGGGCTATAAAGCAAATATTCAACATACCATATTTAAAGTGTTTCTCTGACTTCAATTCAATTAAGTTAGATATTAACTATACAAAAATAACTAAAAAAGTATCCATGCTTGAAAATGTAAATACATATCTGAATAACCCATGAGTAAAAACTATAAGAGCTTGTTTTATCTGGTTACAACAAACAATCAGGCAAAAAGAAGGAGCAAGCAAGAAATACAGTGTGGACAGAAGGGGAAAAGACTAAGGAGCAAAGGGAAGTCCAAAAAAAAAGTTAACAGAGAAGGAAAGGATTTTCTATGCTTATCCTACCGGGGGACAGGTTTTCTGAATGGCTGCTTCATGGGAGAAACAATTCGGAGGCCAGCATATGCAAACTAAGGCTCTTTCTATACAGAATCACCAAGTAAAGGCAAAAGCTGCCAGAACTGACCGTAGAGCAATAGTCTTTCAACAAAATAGGATACTGGATTATAGCTTCAAATGCAGACAGGGTGATCTTGATAAATTCTTCCGAGGCCACCAGTCCTAAAATACAGTTAATAATTTTAAGTATCTATTTATACATTCAAAATCACAGTATCAAAGTACCTCAACAAAAGGTGTAAAATTCCCTATGGTCTACTCACCTATGGCTCCATCTATGTTAGTTTCTCCTGAATCTATTGAATTAATATGACTCTATTAAAAAAAAAAGAATTTTAATGAATGGACATTTATGAACTAAAGCAATGTTTTGCCCAAAATTGCACCTACTATTCTTAATGAAATAATTCATGGAAGGCATTAAATACTATTTATGTATTATGAAATACTATAAAAGTATTATGAACGCTATAACCATAGTTTTAAAATATGATCATGCGAAATAGCAAAAATATATTACAAACTATAGTCATTTTTAAACATATACGTCACTATCAATGAGATTGAATGTAGGAATAAATTCAAAAGAAATATATGCATAGAAAGCTCAACCTGCAAAAGTGAAGCTAATCCAATTGATACAGAAGCATTTCTAAGGGTGTGCCACAACCACTCAGCCACTTTGCAAGATAGCAGAATGGTACCTAACCATGTGAAATGGCCATTTCAAAGGAAGGTCAAGTCCTAGCTACCCTGAGTGCAAACTGCACCAAGACATAGCAGTTGAGTTTAAGGTCAGTCTTCAAAGTTCACTACTGTTCTCAGTCCCTCCGAGATACTTTTTCCCCCAAACCCAAGTCCCTTATCTGTCCCACACACCTGTCCTGCCCCTGCCACCCTTTGAGGGATGACTCCCAACACTCTTTCAGAGGCTGGCCTGAGCAGTTAAGCTGTGATTTCTCCAGGTGAGAGTCCCAGTTCACTGCCAAATGCTCCAGACAGAGATGCTCCATAAACATGACCCGAATGAAGCAATCACTGCCATGGTTAGAACAGCCAGAGCCCCAGGGATAGCAATGTGTTGCTAACAACTCCACACTGGAGTTGTTGCCTCAGCTCACAAAATAATACACATATAATATTCTCTATATGATAACAAACAGCAAATAAAAACAAAATGATGCTCAAATTAAAAAATAATTAAGCAATTAGACTAGAGTAGAAAACGGACCTACTGTGCCCAATAGCTTTTCTTAAAATATGTAATACTAAAAAAAAAAAAAAAAAAAAAAAGCAAAAGAATATGTGTATAGCTTTTATTCTATTAAAAAAATCCTTAAACCCACCCTTCCAGAGATAAGCACTATCATGAATTTGCCATTTCTGTAGCATTTTGTGATAGTTTTACTATATATACATGTGTCCCTAAATACCATATTGTTTGTTTGGGTATTTTATAACTTTACTGAAATGATAAGAAACTGCATAAGTTCACACAAGTGGAAGAGTACGTAGTCATTACAACGTGGGAGAAAAAAATATTTTTAAAGTATTTTTAAAGATATGGAAATACTTCTGATGCAATGCTAAATGGAAAAAGCAGAATACAATATATATACACACACAGCATAGTCTCAACCACATGTATCGATAGAAGTCATGTACATGTATCTATATACATATATGAGAAACATAGCTTTTCTACACACAAATGCATACATAGGAATAGAAAACACTAAGTAAACAAGAGTTAACAATGTCTGTCTTTGAGTGTGGTAGAGTTATGGGTAGTTTTATTCAAATCTCACTATAATGTTCTCCATTTTCTTTAGTAAGCTTGTGGGTTTTTTTTTACGATTTATTTATTTATATATACAAGAACTGGGGTATAGGCCAGAGGTGTAGAGGGTGAGAGGATTCACCAGAGACAGAGCGGGGAACAGAACAAGCAGACTGACTGAAATACACTGCTGAGGGGAGCAGCGGGTGAGTCAGAAGAGGTCTGCTGCACCATGTGAGTAGTTCCCTGGCCGGGGATCGAACTCGTGCTGCAGTGGCTGCGGATAGCTTCATAGGTTGCTTTTTAACCCCTTGCAACACCAGTGAGGCCCAAGCTTGTGTTTTGTAATTTTAAAAAATAAGCACAAATTGCCCTTAAAGACAAAATCCTAAAATAAAGACATAAGCTCTTTAAAAACTGAAAATATAGGACACTTTTTTTTTTTGGCCTATAAATAAACCATGAAAACTAAACATGAAATAATATAGCAAATAAAAATAAAAAGAGGCAACATAGGGCCTCCCCTGGTGGCGCAGGCGGTTGAGCGCCGAGCTGTGAAGCTGTCTGCAGCCTCGGCAGCACCAGTTCGATCCCGGCCGGCCGGGGAGGGTCCCACAAGGCGGGGCAGACCTCTCCTGTCTCGCCCGCTGCTCCCCTCAGCAGTCTATTTCGTCAGTCTGACTTTTCTGTTCCCTGCTCTGTCTCTGGTGAATCCTCTCATCCTCCCACGCATCTGGCCTGTACCCCGGTTCATGTATAAAATAAATAAATCTTAAAAAAAAAAATAAAAAAACAGGCAACATAAGTGTTCCATGATACTTTGGTTGAAATAATTTCACAAAATTCCAAAATGGTCACATAACTTTTGCTATGATTTGATGTTAAATAAAAAACTTGGAGATTGCCATTGTCTTGAATCTCTTAAAAGTCTATGAACTCACCAAGTAAAGATGTTACAGACCTATGATTATTCCTAGCAATTTTTGAAAGATTATATAGGTAATGCACAAATATAGATATTAACAGAAATGTTCAAGGAAGAAATCACAGAAACCACAGCAAAAGTGCCCTTTGGGGAGCAGGGATGCTGAGATGGAGGTGTGCTTTTACTTTTGATTTTCAGTCTTTTTGCACTGTTGGATTTTCTAACCATGTACGAGTATTAATTTTTTACTACCATCAAGGGTTATCTAGATGGTGAAATTACAGGCTTCTTTAAACTGATTTTTCTTTTTTATATTTGTTTAATGAAAAAAAATCCCTACCGAATATTTCATTGATTTACCAATTTTAATGTCTTTTGATATATTTCTTCTTCATTCTTGGTATAATAGGAATTAACCAGGTGAGTGTGAGGACAGAGTAGAAAGCACTGGAGACTCAAGGAGAGAAGGGAATGTAGGAATAAAAATCTTGGTGAGCGTGAAGGTATATAAATTAGGAAATTAACAAGATGTATGAACTGTGTTGAATTTAAAGCGAGTTGTTTTCATTATGTTTTTCTCTAGACATATTTAGACCCTCAAAGCCAGGGGTAGCGTAGGTAGTGAATTAAACTGAACCAGAATGAGGGTCAGCCAGAGGAGGACAATGGAGGAAGAGGCAGGAAAGGGAGTTATGGGTGTATGGAAAGTAGTGGAAGGTGCTCAACAAGGATCTCTCAGGTGAGTAAAGAGAAAAATGAATCCAGGCAATGGGAAGGCAGGAGGGTGAGAGGAGAGTGTGGAGCCCATCTAAATCTCAGAGAAATCAAAATGCTGATGTAGACGGGAGGCAGGGTAAGTGAGTTGAAAATCAGAGACCTGACAGTATGATGGTGAAAATAAGATCCTGGGTCAAAGCAGCTGACAGAGGGAAAGATGAGCTCATGGGAAGAGAAGAGTCAAGGGGCTGTGAGGTGAAGGTGTTGGGAGGACCCTCAGAGGGATAATCCTGTTCTCCAAGAATGGTGACAGAAGCATCGTTGAAAGACTGACCGTGGCCCAAAGCTAAAAGATGTTAAGGCAGTGACCTAGAAATCTGTAGATGTCCACAGCCCAGTGGGTAACACAGCTATCTTCTAATGGTGAAGCGTCAATGTGGGGATTCCCAGGGGACCAAAAAGGATGGATTCCCGCCCTACAGCAGGCTTACTGAGTGGAAGAATGTGGCGCAAAAATTGGCCCCATCTGGAAGGAAAAGGAAACCTGTGCCTCAAGGGCTGACCAGAGCTGCTTATTGTTATTCAGTGCTTCAAAGAAGCTGAAAATAAGCTCCCATCACAACTGGGTAAATGAATTCATAGTCTGTAAAAAATGAGGGGAAAAAACTCATAACTAGAACATCTGTGTGGAAATGAAAAAGCATATATTATTATTTTTAAAAATATGAGTGCACACTTTCTGCTACATCTACTACTGAAGTCAAAATCTATCAGCAAAGCAACAATCACTTAAGCAAAAATCTTCAGAGGGCAGGAAAGTATCTTTTCTTTTAAAAATTAATCTCAATGCCCAAGATAAGTTAAAATTTACTAATAATGGAGATTATAGTTCTATTCTTAGAGAAAAACCTATCAGAATGATTTTATCTTTTCTTGTTTGTAAAAAATATGAATTGTGATGCCTTTTTGTTTTTGTTTTTTTGTTTTAAAGATTTATTTGTTTATTTATACAAGCACTGGGTACAGTCAGAAGCGTGGGAGGGTGAGAGAATTCACCAGAGCCAGAGTGGGGAACAGAGCAGGCAGAACGACGAAATACACTGCTGAGGGGAGCAGTGAGCACAGTGGGAGAGATCTGTCGCACCATGTGGGACCCTCGCCGGTGGCCTGGGATCCAACCAGCACTGCAGAGGCTGTGGGCAGCTTCGAAGCCCAGCGCTCAACTGCTGTGCCACCAGGGGAGGCCCTGTGATGCCTTTTTGTACAAAAAATTATAACCACTTGGGCCTCCCAGGTGGCGCAGCGGTTGAGCGCTGGGTTGCGAAGCTGCCCGCGGTCTCTGCGGCGTCGGTTCGATCCCCGGCTGCTCCCCGGCCACCAGAGGAGGGTCCCACATGGCACGCAGACCTCTCCTGCTGCCCGCTGCTCCCCTCAGCAGTGTACTTCGGTCCTTCTGCCTGCTCTGCTCCCCGCTCTGGCTCTGGTGAATTCTCTCACCCTCCCGCGCTTCTGACTGTACCCAGTGCTTGTATAAACAAACACAAACAAAAAAAAATAAAACAAACAAATAAATAAATAAAACATGCTTCTATTTTAAAAAAAAAAAATTATAACCACCACATAACCACTGCACTTCTACAAACAAACAAGGTCAGAACTGAAGAACAAACACAACCAAGTCTTCTTTACCAGCTCATTAATCAAGAGCATTTTCAAAAGAACACAAGAAATACAATGAACATTAGGTTAATATACATCATGAGTTCTTGAACATATTTTCTTAATGTCATTACTTCTTAATGCCATTGCTTAGACCCAGGATCTTATTTTCACCATCATACTGTCAGGTCCCTGATTTTCAACTCACTTACCCTGCCCCCCACCTATACCATTTTGGGCAATGGAGGCCCCAAAGAACTGTGATATTCACCACAGTTTTTTCCCCATATTATTATCCTAGATGATTAATTCTAAAAAATATCCCCAGATAACTTTTCTACTGGACAGAGAGATAGATACAATGACACACTGTTAGTGCCAATAAGAAGTGAAAACAACAACTATCAGCAATGTATTGATAGTACTCTTGTGCCTTGAACCTCTGAAAACACAATCATGGTTTATAAGTGCCCTGCTAAATTATTTCCAAATACTAATCTTTAAAATGTAAGAAGACCAAAACTTCATTTTATTGGGTGAGAAAATGTTTACAAAAAGTTAATTCCTATAATCATGCCTTCACATGTCAGAAGTATTCCAAATCTTTCTACCAAAAACCAGTAATTTTATGTCAATACGTCAAACAGGCAAACTGTGCCCTAGTCCAACATGAAAACTGAAGCCAGCGGGAAGCACAGCTCCATCACCCCCTCCAGTCTGCTCCTTCAGAAGCCTTCTAGTGAGGGGAGATCACACCAACCTTGACTGCTGTCTCTATCCCCACCCAGATGCAGCTCCTATACAACTATTTTAGCAGAAGCCCAAGAAGTTCTTAGCAGCAGCTTCCTGCTGCTAGATAGAAGTCCTATGGGTGGTCTAAGCTTGAATACCTCAAATTAAGACATTTTAAAATATAAAGAGATCATAGGTCTGCCATAATATAAGAGCTACTCTGCTTGATACATCATGAAAAAGACTTCAAAACACAATGCTAAGTATATTCATATGGATGGACTGCTGCATTGTGCTACCAGGACAGACTACACACTGCTCTGGAGTGTTTCACAGAGTCATCATTCTGTGGGGGATCCAAAGCCATACAAACACCTCTCAAATAAGTTTAGGAAACCTTTGCTTAAGCAAAAATTAAAATAATTATTTTTTGTTTTTAGTATGCTAATCTATACTGAAAATTTCTAAAGGACTGTTGGCTGTCAGATGAATGTGTGTTACGGCACAACTGAAACTTCAGGATGCTGAACTTCAATAGCACATGTGGCATCTTCTTCCAGATTATGCATCAGTTCGTACTTTTAGTCAATACTTCTCTCCCTTTAGTAATATGCCATCAGTGCCATTAACACTGAGTATGAGAAATAGGAACATACAGAGAAGGCCAAATAAAATGCAATAAAGGAAATAGTGAAAAAAATTCTGGGATTGGTCATGATCCAAACTACAAGAAGGGCCTCCAGAGAATCAAAAGACTATTTTCCTTTATTACTGACCTAAACTCCCTGTACTTGAGTGACATTATCAAGGAAAAAATCTGCTCGATGTTTCAATATCATTATCTTTCAACCTAACAGGTTATTTTCCATTCCCTAAAAATGTTCACATTAAGAAAACCCTATAGATTTCCCCCAATCAATAAAGGGTAAGCCCACTCCAGGGAGACGGTGAGGAAGCCCTCCCTAAGTGTGGCTTCTTCCCTTGCTTCTGAGCATACTGTTACACAGAGATGAGTTCTCCTAAAGTACATTGAAATGATTCCTGAAAATCCATAAAAACGTTTATATTGGAGACACTCAGTAATACCTTAAAGGTCTAAAACATAATCAGTTAATGTAGGCAGAGAAAGAGACTATGCATGAGGAAAAAAAAAAAAGAATGAAAAAAGCACAATTACATGTATCCCAAAAAAAACTGCACCAAAATATTTCAAGGTGGGCTGCAAGGGCAAATTTACTATTTTCAAGCTTTCATATGTCAGTGCAGTAGAATTATAGTCATGTTGAAATGATGCCATATTAAAAAAAGGTGCCATATTGTACTTAAAAATGGATTAATCACTCAATTAAAGAAGATGGTAAACAGAATTCTAATAATCTGCAGATTCATGAATGTCTGACGAAAATGACATACTTCGCAGAATTCAGGACACTGAGATGAAAATAATTTGAAATTGAGTTCAAAGGGACCCCTGACCCCCACCCCTGGCATTGCTGGAACACACTGCTCACTAAAAAGTGATCTCCACTCAGCATTCATACTTCAAGAACCATCTAGAAAACTAGATTCTCACTCATTTTTTTTAATTCCAAACTAACAATAAAATTGAAATGTTTACTTCATTTTAACTAGGTGCCTCCATGACAATTTGAAAATCTCAGTTCTGTTTTTATTATCAATATCAAAGTTTTCTTTGTGTAGCTCCCCATTTTATCAACAACATAAACTGTAACTATTCTAGGCAGGGGAAAAAGATAATTACGGAGGCACAACCTGAACAAAAAGACTATTTTTTGTGAGCAAAAATGGAAGTAAAAGATAGTATTACGGTTTGTTTTACATTGCTATCTATCCCATCAAAATTAAATTAAAGAAAATGTTAAATGGGGCTTTACTTAGAGACAGGCTATCATAAAGAGAGACACTGCACATAACTGGACAATGTAAGGCACGGGAACTATTGATAATATATTCCCAGCACTCCATTTCACCAGCTTTATTATTTTAATTTTTTCACGATGTTCAATACCAAAATCTATGAAAGGGTCTTCTATGGCCTTATTTACCTTACTTGGAGATGTCTCTAAACAAAATACATTATCAGGAGAGAATGTATTTTTCTCCAAATGTCAAATTTTATTACAGTCAAAAGATAAAAATATAAAAAGGTCACTTCCCTAGAGACAAATAAATACCACTAGGATTTTTAAATTACCTCATTCTGACACCAAATTCCACAAACAGTAGAGAGAGCCATATTTTTATTAGTAAGGTGAAGAATTCAGTGTTACTCACAAGAATAGTTCCGTAACTGAAAAGGAACTCTTCTGTTACAACTTGAGGTCGAAATACCTGTGTGATGAGAGTTTCCACAGATTAAATCCTGAAAGCCACGCACAAGGGGGTTAAAAAAATGAAAATACTTTGTCTGAGTTGACATTTCTCAGCTCCAGTTTTACAAAGAGGGGAGTCACATTTTATCCTATTTTTTTTCTCTGAATAACATAGTACCTGAGAAGTGACGAGGTGAAGCACTATAGGCATCAGGGGGAGACACATCTTCAACTGCTTCACTTGAACTGTTGATGGGTGTTTACGACCGGAAACGTTAGCCAGGGCATTTAGAATGTCACCTGCAAAGCACATCCCAGCACACACATGGAGGTTAGAGACCACAAATACTTAGGAATCACAACCATCATTGCTAGAATACTAAAGGGGTGGTTGCAGCAATTAACCTCCAAATGAAAGAGGTGAGTAGAAGCTGTTTCATTGTATTCACAAAGAATTGAAATTATAACAGCAAGTTGTGGCCTCTGGGGAGATCCTGGGTATAACCTTGATCTCTCATCCAGAAATTTAAAAAATAATTTATAAATGGTTCTGGTGGAGCAGTGGTTTTAGAAATGATTTTCCTTCCCATTTTTCAGTACTTCCCAAATTTCAACCCTGAGCACTTTCCACTTTTACAAACAAGAGAAAGTTATTTAAAAATTATAAGTAAACAGATTATTGCTCATAGTTCTTTTAACAATAAAATAAGATGGAAGTAAAATGAGATCAATTCCTAAAACTTTTTATTGGGTGATAAGTCAAGTGATAATAAAATTTGCTTTGTGGACTTCAGAATCTTATATCCTAAAACAGGGTATTTTCTGAAAAGAAACTCAACTACCAATAGACCAGATTGTGGCCTTCAGGTTAGAGATTTTTGAAAGGTTATAATTCAAAATAAATTTTCAAATGCTCCATTTTCAGTCATTAACAGGCAAAAAGTCTCCCAAAGCATTAGTGAGGATCAAAAGGTAGTACCAACCAGCCATGACATACATTCCAACATTTTAAATTTCTGAGTCTAAATGTATTTTAATATAATGGTTGGATCAAATTTTAAATTTTAAACATTTCTGGTTAATAGCTACATCTGCTGGAAAAGCATGGAATGGGATTTTAACTAAAAGGACATAATCCTTTGATCATATTCATTCCTGTGAATAACAATGGGATAATGGTTTTTTCAAGCTGAAATAAACAGTCTTGAAAATTATTATTAGGCATTTTTATCTTAAAGTTTCAAACAAAACAAATTTTCAAACTCTGAACTTTAATATTAAAAATTCCTTACTCTAATATCAAATTGTAATGACTGTGAATCTTTCAATTCTTTTAACACAAAATAAATGTTTGGCTCTAACCTGAAGATAAAATATTTTTCTTCAGAATTATGCAGTGAGAAATTTTGAGAAGTTACCTAAAATAATACCCCGAGTCCAATTTGAAGCAAGCAACTTGCTTTCCTTTTGTTTATTTTCCCCAAATGTCAGTTTACTACAGACAGCACTTCACTGTAACCTTTACCCTGCTCACTGCAGGCTACGTCATGTCATTGATGTAAAATAACTATAAAAACAGAGGAGGCAAATTTAAATTTTGAGGCTATGCATTCAAGAGAAAGTGTATTGCACTCGCCTGCATTAAGAGACAAGCAAGAATAAAAAGAAGCAATGCCCAAAAGCCAAGTCTCAGAAAGGTTGGCAGGAAGGGGCCTGGGGATGAGATTCCAATTTACCCAGGATCCGTGGCAGCTCCTGTACGATGTGACGGATGAGGAGGTCCAGGCATTTGGACAAGTACTCATTGCCACTCTGCTGCTCCTTGCCTGGAGTGGTCTTTCTGCTGTCTCTCTCGATGTACATCACCAGTCTACATCCAGGAAAGTGCAAAAGATTACCTTTCCTGATAAAACAGTAGATAGCATCTGTCCCGAAACACCGCCAAGGCCAATGTTTCCAGGAGCACAATCCCAATCATGTTGACATTTAGATTCATAGCAGCTTGACAGGCGCCATCCATTTTTGCCTTAGAAAAATCTAAACGTTTATGCAGAGAGAATATAAAGCAACTTTGAATATTCCTGCCAATGTGGTTATAAAACAAAGTCCTGATTTCATTTGCCTTTGGCCCAAGAAGAGAAACCACATCCTCTGGGTGATGGGTGAAAAGGCAAACAGGTGTCCAGACACAGGGGGGTTCTAGGTGTTTCAAAGGTTTTAAGTAGAACCTCAAATTTTTGCACTTTTGTTGGTCTTCAGTATTAAATTTGTTTGGAACCTCAGGCAAATCACAGGAATTTCAATTCTTTCAATAAATTGTGTACATGAATCCAAAGAAAACAATTTAAACTCCAGGAGATACAGAGAGCAAACAACGATCTGAATGCCTAGATTTTACAGGTCCTTTTGTTGATCAGTTTTATGCCATCTACCTTTTGATAAATTTGTTTTTTCTTAGAATCACTGGCATTCATTAAACATCAATCTCCAAACTACCTGCTTCCAAAGCAGAACTAGGGAACAAATTGGACCATCACTCTAGATACTCAGGGTGTGGTTGAAAAGTTTTAGGCCCACATTTCATCCCCTTGTTTCAACCTACCAGTCATCTTCCCGAGTTCCTCTTCCCCTCAGCTCTCTAAAGGATAATGAATTCATTGATTCACCCTGCACAAACCCCTACACAGCAATCTCCCTTGCTATATACTCTCTTGCCATCATCCATCTGTTATAATCATTTGTCCCACCTAAGTTTACTTCTCAGAGAGAACTTCCAATCAACTCCCACTGTAAACTGGAGGGAGGGGGTTTTGTACAGAACGCACAGATATATGGATACTGAAATCTTAACACTTAGTTTATGTGTGGCTCTCTTAGTTGATTTATTCATGCTTTGCCTTTCTGCTACTGGGGGGGAAAATGGGGCTGAAACCAAATCAAAAGTTTAAGTCACACAGAAGCCAGCTAGCATCCACTGTTCTTAGTCCCTGATTACAGCTCTAGCCACACCCTAGAAAACATTATGGCAACAGTCAAAATGAAGAGACCATAGTGATGCATCAGCAGAAATGTACCACTACTACTTAAATGCACTCAGAGTGCAAAATATCTTGATATAATGACTAAATGATAAAAAATGAGCGCTCAACATTTCATGGTAAGTGAAATCCAAAAACTTCAGCTGTGTAACATGTTAAGAAATGATGGGGAGGGCCCCCCCGGTGGCGCAGCAGTTGAGTGCTGGGCTGCGAAGCTGCCCGCAGCCTCTGCAGTGCTGGTTCGATCCCTGGCTGCCGGGCGAGGGTCCCACATGGCGCGCAGACCTCACCTGCCGCGCCCACTGCTCCCCTCAGCAGTGTACTTCGTCAGTCTGCCTGCTCTGCTCTCCGCTCTGGTGTGCTCTCACCCTCCCACACTTCTGACTGTACCCAGTGCTTGTATAAATAAATAAATAAATAAATAAATCTTTTTTTAAAAAATTTAAAAAAGAAATGATGGGGAACAGGCTGGGGAGCCAGCCAGCCCGACGCTCCCAAGGACCTGAAGCACAACATACCATCACTGTAGCCTGCAGCTCCCAAGAGGATAGCAGGACTCCAAGATCCTCTGCATGAGCTGGCACCTGTTAAAGCAACCCAATCGAAGGAGCAGGACCAGAAAATACCAAGGACATGGAAACACATCTTCTTTCCTGCTTCTCAAGGCGGATGGTGTGGTGTCTCCCTGCCCGGTCTCACCGGATACAGAACAACTTTTCCTAAGTTAAAGGTTATGGCACTGAATTGCATCTCCTCCAAGATAAGTATTCCAAGTGCATCCTCTGGTCATTACTGCTCTTGTCCTACTTGCACACTTTCCACTATGACAATTCTTCATCTTTATAGGATCTGCTACTAACCGAGCCTATCATATTTTCCCTCAATCCATCAGTAGTTTCTTCACTTACTTCCTGTTTTAATTACATCCCACCATCTATATCATTTCATTACACTCTGGACTTCTTTCTTCTCTTTGCACCCTTCTTCTTGCAACAGGAATTTTGCTGCTGCTTTGCAGCGAGAACGCAATGAGGGACACAGCAGTCGTGGAGCAGGTTTGCAAGGCAAGACTCTGCTACTTGAGCAGAAGTTCTTGTGTCATTTATTGAAAGCACACAGGCCAGTAAAAGTTAATCATGCGACAATGGTATGAGGAATAAACTCAGGAGGGTGGGATAGGAATGGGGGACAAAGTTTTACAAGGGAGAGGGAAGGGGACATCATGGCCATACGTCAAGTGACATTTGCGTCAGCAAAGTATTTGATGTTATCACAGGCAAAGTTATCCCGAGACTACCATGGAGACAGTCACGTAATCAGGTCAACAGCAGCCTAGGCATCCCCGGGCCTGCCTCATGATACGGGCTATACCCCGTAGGTAGTCAAGGAATGCTCTGCTGTGATTTGTAGATAGCAAATAGGTCAAGGTTGCCCATGAGTGACCTGTTAGTAGCCAGCTCATAGGGAACCACACCTTCTAACTATATGAACTCTGGATGAATGTGAAAATCTACTTTTCACATCTCTTCAGAGAAAGCTGCTGAAATTAAACACGAGGCGGCAAGCTTATTTCACTATAAATACATGACATTAATATTGGATGTTTCAACAATCCAACTATATTTCATAGACTACCCATACTCTATTGCTAATGGAAACATAACTTGGTACAAATCCCATGAAGAGTGTGAGTTGGCAGTATCATCAAAATTAAAAACCTTATTCCCAGGCTAATTTCAAATTTTCTTCTCAAATCCCCAACTTTCTTGTCTTCATGAGTGACACTGTCTCCCACTGCTCCCAGAAAGTCTTCCTAGTTCAGCACGCACACCTACTGTGCATCCCATTTCAGTGTCCTTGCCTTCCATCAAAACAACGCACCAATCTCCCCTTCCAGCTGCACTTTGGATCTCATCAATTCCACTTTCTCAGAACCTTAACACTGACAATTACTTATTTTATCTTTGACATATTCACTCCCATTTAACAAAATACTTTCTATGCTCTTCTAGCAACTGTCCTTCCCCTCAAATATGTAAGAGAGAAATCTATTCCACTTATCCACTGTTCCTCCCACTTTTTTCTCAACCCTCCAAAATCTGGCTTTCAGTCCCATTACTCTATGGTCACTGACAACTTCCATGACACCAAACCCAAAGGGCATCTATCTTGCCTTCACCCACCTTGACAAAGCAACAGCATTCTATACTCCTATTACTCTATAGATCATACTTTTCCAATTTCTCTGGTTTTTCCTTCTACTTTTGTGGGTTTCACACCCCTAAATGTTAAAAGTTATCAAGATTCATTCTAGGCCCACTATTCTCTCTTACTCACTTGATCCACACTATCTCATCCCCATCAATGATATGATTTACCACCTCTGTACACAGATGCTTCCAATGACATAACTGCAGCCCAAATCTGGTCTATATATTCAACTGCTGACTTGACTTGATTAGCTGTCTTTTGTCTCAAAGACGTTTCAAATTCGATATAGCCAATGTAAATATTATCATCATCCCACCAAAATTGATTGCCTTTCAGATTATATCCCACTGTACAGCATCATTCTCTACCCTGTAGATAACCCAGAGACCTTACCACCTTTCTCTCACTTCCTATACCAACTCAAATATTAAGCACTCCTCAAACCCCTAGATATTCCCATTCCCAAGCAAGCACGAGCGTCTGTTTTCCTCCTCCAGGTCTAAAACCACTTCCTAGCTTGTCTATCTGCTGCTGCACTGTCACTCTAACTCTTACACCTCCTACATCTATACTTACCTTATCAATCAAGTTGTTCCTTTGTTTAAAATCCTTCAATGGCAACCTCTTCTTCTTAGCAAAGGAGTTCTTAAAACACCCCATCATAACTTAAAAGTCCTACAGGGTTTGACCCCCAACTTCCTATCTTGCTGCACCTTGCTTTCTCTCCCCTCCAGTCAAATTATCTATTCCTCAGACTCAATACCTCCCCCAACAGCAAAACACTCTTTTCTCCCTAACTTAGATCTTCTCTCCGCTCCTTGCCAGTGAATTCGTATACATCATAATTCACTACAATTTCTACTAACTTCCTTAAATTAAATCCCTCTATGATATTGTCTCATAGCACAGAATGCATTAAGGCTCTCACCCTACTGAAATTTTATAATATATTTTTGATTTTCTGATGTTTCATCCCAATAAACCTAAAATACCTAAGGGCAAGGACTTTATCTGATTTGGTTCACCACAACATCTTTCCACTTCTGGGCACAGTTTCTGACATTAAAGAAGTGTTCAATAAATACTTGCTGAATAGGTACACATTGCTGTTGAAATTGCCACAGGCTTTACCTAGCTCACTACAGCAACTCCTTGGTTCTTGCTTGTTCCAAGGCCTTTCCTAATTCTACTGTTTGATATGTGTTTATTTGCCATTTATATTGCCAGATAACATAAGTTTAAAGAAAACTGCTAAGAAAAAAAGACAACTATGTCAGAGGAAAATATTCACAACTCATATTACAAAAGACTAATATTATATACGTGTGCACACACCACTTATGCCTCCCAGATAGAGATTAGGAGAAAAAAAAAAAAAAAACAAGGCAAGAGAAAAAATGAAAAAAGGATAAGAAAGAGCAGTGTACAGAGAAAATACAAATGACTCAAGCAAAACAGATGCTCTACTTTGCCCATAATAAGAGAAATATATATACTACCATAGCATTTTTTTCTCTAGATAGCCAAAATTCAGATAGTTTGGCAGCAAAGAATTCCATCAAGACTCTGAGACTACCCATTCTCTATTGCTAATGGAAACATAACTTGGTACAAATCCCAT